TGCTCCCCACTCTGCCTCTGGTGACTCTTCTCACCCCGACACCTCTGGCCTACAGGCCAGTTCTGCGCTAAAAAACACATCCCTGGGCTCCAACGCTCAGTGCCCACTAGCCAGGCCCTAGAAGGCCGCTGTGACCAGGACGGTGCTGGCTCTTGATCTGTGCTTCTCATTGCTTTTGCAGCTTTAACCGCCTTGATTTACCTCCGTATGAAACCTTTGAAGATTTACGAGAGAAGCTCCTCATGGCTGTGGAAAACGCTCAAGGGTTTGAGGGGGTGGATTAGTGGCCCCTGGCCTCGAGCGGGTGTTCGTCCAGCAAGCCCTGCCTGCACTTTCGCATTTGCTGACAGACATTGCAGAGACCACGCAGAAGAGCAGTGGCCGGGCCGGGGAGCCCTGAGCCGCCTGCGCCGGAGACTTGCCCGAGCCCAGCGGAACCCAGTCCGGGGCGCGTTCCTGCATTTTCCACTACAAATTATCAACTGGTTGATGTGTCCACGAATATCATTTCAGGAGGACTTAACTCTATTTATGTTGTGCCTCTGTAGGCCAAGCCCTTAATAAATATTTTACATACTTTATAATGACAATGAATGGAATTAATCATGCTACAGGTATAGTATTACGACTCATGTTTACTTTTTCAAATGATTTAGACCGATTTTCAGATTTTATTTCATTACGATTAAAGATGTCTCATGTACTTGGAAAGCGAGCATATTTTTTTTTGTATTTGAATTTCATACCAGGCTTAATGTCAGTGACATTTTTATTTTTGAAGGACTTTGACACCCCCACCCCTACTTTATTAGCACCGGAAGACTGATTTTTGTCAACAAACCTCCTACAGATGAGTACTTTTCACAGAATTTAAGATATGACAGTAGCCATCATGATCATTTTTTTTTCCATACTCAGAATGAAAACAAACTGGATATTACATTTTTTTGGGACAAATTGAGCATAATAGCTCCAGGCCGAGAGAAGTGAACACAGCATGACAAATTTTGTGTTGACCTGAAGGAATCACACCATTATTCCTCAGAAGTGATCACGTGCGCCAGCGACACCCGAGATGGGGTGGACTGTTATTTCTCCTCCGAGAAATGACTTGACCCCTCCCAACACTGTACAGTCATCCATTTATTCTATTTTCTCTTTGCTGTTTGTAGTAGCGACGTTTGGATGAAACTTGGCCCTGCTCAGTCTGAAGCTGTGGAAACCAGATTTGCTTAGTCTGTTATTAGTGCGCATTTGCTGATGGTAGCCGATAACCCATTTTTGTTCCGGCCAATCCGATTCTGAAGGCACTTTATGTTCCCCCTGGAGGTCCTAGCTGGTTCTGTTGATGTTTCGTTCTTTATCAGAAACATGAAATGTGGTGATTTCCTCTCGCTGCACACCCGGTGCCAGTGCAGTTGTGACTCTGGCTGCTGGTGTAGAAACCCCCGTGTAAGCCGAGGTGCACCTGCCCTCCCAATTGTCTTGCGGCTTCCACTCACCTACGAAGGTTCATTCAATAGACACTTGCTCTCCCGGGTTTTGTTCCCTGTGACTCGTTGCATGCTCCGATGCCTCCCTGCCCGAGTGTCTCTTCTGTGCTGGTTGGAAAGTGAGAGCAGCTGTGAAGCTGCTGGTGGTGCAGGATCGAGGGGGCGGTGCAGTGACCCTGTTCGTTCTCCCTGTGGATCTATGTCCTGTTTGCAGAGAGGCCTGAGGCAGTGTGGGGGCCCAGCAGCCCCACTGTCCTCTCGAACCCAGTTGACCTGCTCCCTGTTGTGGCCGTCAAGGGACACCAGAGATTCGATCATTTGCCAGTTGTAGCTAAGACCAAAATTATTGTGAGTCCAAGGCCTCCTTTTGAGAGCAGAAATTCATGCGTCCTCAGCTCCAGGGGGCCCATGAGAAGCTATCAATGTCCATGGTTGTAAATGAGTTGTCCAAAAGGGTGTTAGGGCCTGGTTGTTGAGAAAGTGGATTTCTATAAAGCCAAGTATTGGCGACTGTTTCATAGGGAATTTAAAATACCCACTAGTATCAGAAAACATAGATAGATGTTGAGTACTTAGAAAAGCAGTGTTCTTAATCGTTTCTCTGTTGCTGGAATGCCTTCCCTTCTAGCCATATAACCCCCTCCTCCCGCCCCTCATCGTCCAGACTCAGCTTTGTTAGGACTCAGGCCAGAGCCTGGGTGATCACGTCATTGTGTGTGGGGCGGGGGAGGAACCCAAGGCTTCTAGGCTAAGAGTTGGGGATCTTCTGACATTTATAAACTCTTAATCAGAATATTCACTAATGTAAATTTACCAGAGCATTGGAAATTTGAAAGAAAACCCATTTTAAGGCCATTTGGAAGTCAGGGACAGATAACATCCATTGACATAGCCCTGGACTGTGCATCTACCCCAATGCCTGCTGACAGTGACAGCGAAGTGTGTGCTAGGTCTGGGGTGGGGGAGGGGGATTGTTTTTTAATCAAAGGTTCCCTGGAATACTTACTGATCTTATTTAAATTCTGATGGTCACGCTCCTTCATCCTCATGTAATTGGGTAAAGAGGGTCATTCCTGGGCCCCACTTGCCCGCCCCTCCCCGGCAGCAGGCCTGGGGCAAAAATCCAGGGTCCTTTGCAGCAACTCTGATCCCTGGTCCAGGGCCTCTAGGACCTCTCTGTTCACAGAGCGTAACCTTAGCCCGGTTTCTTTGGTCTGAAAACGAGATGTTTCTCATGGGCCACTTTGCCCTGCGGCTAAGAAATTCCAGCATGGATGTGGGTTCTTACTGCTGCCTCTTTGCCTGGGTATTTCTGTTCTTGCCCCCTGTTGGCCTGAAGCTGAATTTGGACATTCTGCCCCGCGGGGTTAACTTCTGGTGGTGCCTGCTCTTACCTGCTACCTCTGGATCAGGAAGCAATGAGGCAAGTGTCTGCTGGAGAGTTAATTTCCACATCAGTGCTCTTTGTGCAAAACCTTTTCCATGGCTGGCTTTCCTGGAGCGATCTCCCCGCCCCAACCCCCCCAGCCACAGGAGGGAAGATGAGTCCTCATTTTGTTTCCAGGCCCTTTGGAGGCCGCCATCAAATACTGCCTGATACCCCAAGGCAAATGGTGTAAAGCAACCTGACGTGGATGATTTCTCCCACATAGAAATGGTTTACTGAGTTTTTGAACCATTTTCTACATCGCGCGTTGTTAAATAAACAACACGATACTCTTGCTGTTTCATCTTGCCACTTACAAATGCATCTTTTTTGTTCATATACCGCAAGCTTCTAATTGTTTAACAGTTACTACTTCACTTTAGTGTTTTCCTAAGTCTTGAATCTGCGTCTAAAATTTTGCAATCTATAAAGTTCTGCAGTCCTCAAGACCCTTCCCACTGCATTAGCTCTTCCTCTGCCTCTTCCCTCACCTTAACTGCACCCAGGAACTGAAGGGAGGCGGAGATGCCATCTAGTGTCATTTTCTGCCTCGCCAGTAGGGAGCGCTAATGTGCAGGGTAACCTCCCCTAAGGAGATTATGAGCTACCTCTGTCGACTTCTGGCTTTGGGGTACATCATAAGTCACGTCAAAACTGCCAATTTCAGGCCTCCACTTTGTACTTTAGATTTTAAAACGGTGAAGAAAATGTGATATACTTCGGACCACTTTTTTTAATTTATCTAAGCCTTAATCAAGTGTCTGCACCTGCACACGCTCCCCGCCCCTCCAACCCCCAGGATGTCAGAGACTGAGCTGCAGCCTTAGGACACACCTGACAACATAATGTTTTACAGAAAAGGACAGCTTTCTGTTGATGTGGAGTTTTCCAAGAAAGCCTCTCCCCAGACATCCATTCTTTGTTCAAGATGTTACATGCCAAGCGATGTGTGGTTCAAACCTGTGTCTTTTTATCTGTTGGTTTTGTCTGTAAAGAGTAATAATGACTGGAAAAGTGTTCGGCTACAGACCTCCATGTACTGCAGTCTCTACTTGGCAGAAGTGCATCAAAGCCTTTGTCATGCCCAGACCTGTGTCTGCAGACACCTGTGCCCACGCCAGCCCTCCCTCTGGCCCAGCTCACCTGGATGATCAGGGTTCCTCTCATGGCAACTCTGGCAACTTTGTTCTTCCTATTACGTATGTGATGTCTGTACACACATATGTACTCATGCTGTCCAAATATATGTATATATTTGTATAGCATTTTTACACCTTTTTTGAGTGTTCTGGTTTTGAATGGGAGCGTAAACACTGTCCCTCCAGGCTTTGCCCTAAGAATTCTGGCCCTCAGAGTCCAGGAGAACCCCAAGAAGATGATGTTAATTTGCTGCCATCTCTTAATTGAGCATCTGTACTCAATGGAACATAAGAAAGAAAAACAGTGACGTTTAAGGTGGAAAGAGTTTCAAGCATTCCAAATGAATTGTCAATGTTTCATAACTTTTTATGAAAACCCCCTTCCTAATAAAAAGCCAAGTACTATTTGATACAATGATTAAAAACCAAACTGCTTTGACATTTTTTAAAGACAACTTAAGGATAATGCTCATTTTCACAATCAGAAGAGCTTTCAAATATGGTTGAATTTGATACACAGGGAAAAGCTTAAGAACTCCTTTTTGTTTTTCATTTTTCTTAAGAGCTCTAAGACAAATTGTGGTTTGTTATCCTGATGGCAAAAGAGTAATAATGTCACAAAATGAAGTCATTGTAAAGAAGTGATGCAACTTGTCAAATATTTAATAAAGATTATGGACGCTGGAACATTTTCTACATCGAGTATGATGGGTTGTCTGATTTAAAATTTCACGATGCATCATTTTAATTGTTTCCGTGGCTTAAGTGCTTGAAGATTTACAGTATGTTCATTTCCCTCGTCTCCCTAAATGTTCTATGCTTTTAAAAACATGATTAAACTCTAGACAAAGCATATGGCTTATGTTTACGGGGGTTCACATCTATTCTCATCCATCTGTCTTGAAAAAGACTGTGTAACGCTAGGTTAATCTGCGGGTCCTTCTGAAAAGCCGCACTTCACCTCTCCTGCTTGTCCAACCAGCCCTGGATTATGTGAGTGAATGAGATGCAGAAATGAAGGCCAGGGTGGTCTCGGGGGATGGATGCTATCAAAATCCAGATTGGGTGTCAGTTCCCTGTTCAAACCAGACTCCTGGGAATTTTCCCTTTTCCTTAGTACTAAGCTTCCTCTTGACTTTGACCTGCCCCTCAGTTGGGAAAGGGAGGCAGATGGGGTTGGGCATGGGTGGTGTGATGCTGGGTGAGTAGAACGTGTGCACGTATGGAAGAGCAAAAACGTAACCCCCAAAATTAAAGCCCGCCTCCTCTGGAGAGCCAAGAGGTAACTCCCAAGTAGGCCACAAGCCAGTCCTTGCTCCTTGCCTCTTTTTCATTATCAGATAATATCTTGCTGGGTGGTATTAGTAGCTTTCTGAGCTCCAGAAAACACAGCCCATTCTCAGGGATCACCCCAGCCCACAGCCCTCACTGGGACCCACACCACCTCTTAGCCATGGACAGAGCTCTTTCCACCCTGGCAAGTAAGTCCTTATATTTTCCAGATAACCACAGGATAACTCTTAAGACTTTGTCCACCAGAGTGGTAACACCACATCAGACCAGAGACAGCACTGGATTCCTCTCTCCACCCCAAACTACCTGATAGAGCTTGAGGAGGTTGTATTTTGTCAAGCTTCTATCCGGCAAAGTCTTTTATATATTAACTTACAATATAGCCAATACTACTTGAGACGCCATGGTTGACTTTCTAGTTATTCAGCTCTTAACAAATCCTAACACCTCCTCTGCCGAGGGGGTCTTCTCTTGCTCCTTCTCCCTCAGGCCTGCCCCCGCTGGCCTTCTCTGTGGTCTCTGTTTGCTTAGAAGATCCTGGCTTGCTCACACACTGAGATGATGAGGGGACATTCCCTCCCCAACATAATAAGCGTTTAAACAAAAGTCAGGTCTTTGAACCCAGGACTCCAGTTAAAAAGTAACAACTTGGAAACAGGATCAATAGGAGACAAATATTAGCTATGGGCTGGAGGACACAACGTTGGGAAATAGCACCGCTGGGGACATGGAGCAACGGTCAGCTCGTCTTGGGGGTCCAGGCACTCCAAGGAGCCCCGTGATGTCACGCCACTTTCTTGCAAGTTGAAGCTCCCAGCCATCAAGTTACCGTCTAGAACCTCCTTGGTTCAGATGTCTGTAAGCGCCTCGAGAGGCTGGACCCCCACTTTATCTCTCCCTTCCCGTCCCTCTCCTCACCTGTTGAACTGCCTCCAGCTAAGCTCTGATCCAATCACTCTGCTGTTTACAAGGTTTCCACAGCTTTGCATCGCTCACCCACCTGGTGCTCAAGGCCATTTGGGGTATGTGGGCAATCCCGGGGGCGAGTTGGGGGGACACGCCAAACCATCTCCTTATCTCCACTCCCCTCATTGTGCAGTTTGATGTCATCTACCATTTCTTTTTTCTTGAAATGCTGCCTTTAGTGTATGACATTTCAATTCCTAGTTATTTTCTGCCTTTTGAATTACTGGTTTTTCTCCTTCCCTAAACGTAGGTGCGGCCCAGTAATTCTTCTTTTTTCTCCTTCGTCCTCCTCCCTGCCCACTTTTACTTCAGCCACCTTCCTGCCAATGGGCCACTCCCCAATATGCTGTTCTCACAGGGGAGACTTTGCCGCACATCCATATGGACCCTGAACTCAGAATTCATCTCAGATGCCACCTTATCCAGGAAGCCTTCCTGATTCCCCCACCACGTGAAGCCTAGCCTCCTCCAGCCCCCCTTTCCTCTACCCCCATCTGACTCTCGTGTGGCTATTTATAGAATGAGCTCCCTGCTCTGTGTCACCATATGTTAAATCAATATTCTCTGTGCCTTGGATGCTTAATAAAGCCACAGCAGGGCCCTGGGGGGAAGCAGGGGATGCTGCTGGGGCCCTCAGGGTGAGGCGCCTTGCTGATTCCTGCCTGTCACCTCCTAAATAATAATTGAACACTGGCCAGCATCTTCCGTCTTGTGACCCTGTGACAGGTCCAGGTGATCATCAGTCATCCAGGGTCTCTAGAGAGAGAACGAGAGGAAATGAGATACCCAAACCAAAGAAAAACTATCTGCTGAGAATCACACAATCATGGCCTGAATATTCCGCACCCCTCAGCTCTTTGTTGCCTAAAATACCGCGAATGAACACGTTGCTTTTCCACTCTGTTGCTCATCTCTTCAGAAACAATTTGTATGCCTCAGAGTATCAACAACACTTTAGTTCTCAAGAGACAGCAGTTTCCCTGGAGGCATCCCGCAGCTCCCTGCTGTCTGCACACTGGCTTCTACGCAGAGAAGCCCGCGACAGTCTCAGCTTGGCCAGTTCCTCTGGAACTGACCGTGCACACAGACCAGAGTCTTTCCTTCTGGAGAAGACGGTGGTCCCAGAAGAGGTGTGCCTACTCTGCCTCCTGGCATGGGGTGAGGAGCTGTACCTAGATAACAGCATCCTCACGGGTTTCCTCGCCACTCAGAATGATGGGAAATCCCAGGAACTCGCCAACTGACTTCCTGAAGATAAAGGGGGGGGGGAACCGCACCCCCATTGATGGGAACAAAATTTGCCTGGTCCGCCATGACTTGACTGCCCAAAAACTTTATTTGGCCTCACCAAGACTCTGATAGGAAAATTTCACCCCCAAATCCAATTTTCTAATTTCCTTGAAAAATTAGAAGACCTGGCATCAAGCAGTGGGAGCCCTAGGGTTGCCCTCTGTAGATAAGTAGATGAGGCCTATCCGTTTGTTTGCTGCACTTCCCTCTACTCTATTGTCTAACGCTGGTCCGCTTCACACATTAACCATCGGGACCCCAATGTCATCTGAGTTTACAGCCTCTGCACACCACCCAGGTAACTTGGACTAATGTGAGATTTGAACTTCAATTCTATTAGATTATTAGAATCTCGTTTGTCTCAACTTGGAGTGCGACAGTTCTCTCATTGTCACATGTACCCAAGGGGATGGCGGCTGTGCACACTTGAACTCTGGTGTGTGATCTCATAAATCTAATTCAACCCTTCCTCTTCCGATAGCTTGGGAAGCTGGGAGCTGCCCTGGTGTCTTCCAGGTTTCGTGTTCTGGAGCTCTCGCCCTGGAGGGGTGAGACCAGCAGATCAGACCTCCCTCTTGATGGTGTCTGGGTAGAACTCTATCTTGGGAAAAGAGCGTCTCAGAAAGACGTCTTCAACTCATTCTTCTAATCTTCAAATTTTCTATTCAAGACATTCCAAGGTCCCCTGACAAGTGCTTTTTCAAAATGGAATGGTTTAGTTGTTTGAAACAGTCTTCCCAGACTCTCTTCACCCCAACTTGGGGACAGCCTGCCCAAAATGCAGGCCTGATCCCCAGAGGAGGAACCAAATAATCATGTGAAATTAATTTTATAGACCCTAGCACAAATGTCATGGCATGTCAGGGAAGTTATAGGACTCATGAGGACAGGGACAGCTTCCTCTATGCAAAGTAGGCATTCACTCAGGAAACACTAGTCAATCATTATTTGCCCCAAGCATCGTGCTAGATGCAAAATGAAATCAGCATCTTTGCCCTGAGGATTTTCATGTAGTGGTGACACTGAGGAGAGAAACAATAATCAGAGCAAAAATGCACTACCGATCCACGATTCAAAACTCTGGGGCTGGTGTATTCTGGAATGCAGATTTATTTACTTTTTCTTTTTTGCACTTTAGAAAGAGCGGTTATACAACCCACACATCAGGCAGCGGCCAGAGCCGCGACTGCAGTGCCCTGACATCAAGCTCATAGCAGAGATATGAAAACTCGCACTTAGTAGAGTAAATAAAGACTATAAATAGCCTCGTGGCAGTTCAGGTCAGGGTTTGCCATCCGATGAGGTGTTCGCATGAAATGAGATTGCTTCACATTTATAAAAAATGTCTTTTGTGGAAGTGGCAAATAAGGGCTGTGCCTGTGCCCAGAGGCCTGACACGGTCAACACGTCAGGTAAAAGCTTCCTGAAAGCTGCTCCCCACTGGGAAAGGGCAGAAGACACGACCGGGTGGCTTTGCAGGGAAATGCTGGGTGTCACCTGCTGAGCGCTCCAGGAATCCCAGGGGCTCAGTGCACTCCTTTGTCTCTATGAACAAGGCCATTTTGAGACTCCATAGAGACAGAAATTAAACTGCAGAACACTAAAAGTAATGAAATGGTTCCCGTCAGGAATAATACAAATGCACCTTTATTTTTCTGTTAGAGACAGAATTGATTCCCATCCAACAGAAAAGATGGCGGCAGAGGATGCATTTCATTGCTCTGTAGGCTGGTTCTGAGCAGCCTGCTATGAGTGTATATGTAACATTCCTGAAAAAAATGTGTCTATCCTTCCAATTCTCCTTTGAAGAACTGAGTTGACTTTTTAAAGAAAGAACTTTTCCTGGAGATGTCACTTGTGGCTGAAACTGACCAAGAACTAACTGATTGCGAAGAGGGAGAATTCTTCACAACAAGCCAGAGAAGCCATTTGCAAAGACTCCAGCAGCCCCCGGGCAGCCAGGGTCAGTCTGAAGGGAAGTGGCCACTGGCCAGTCAGGAGGTGCAGGGAGAGTGGGGACCGGACCGTGCTGACCACCTACATCAGATTCACCCGGGTGTGTGGTGAAGCCCAGGCCCTCACTAAAGCATCTTGGGGAAAGACGCCACTGGAGAGAATGCTCCAGGAGAATCCTGTTTATGCTGAACCACTGAT